TTTTTTTTAAAAAATATTTAGTTGGGTTTAAAAAGTTTATTTTATTTTATCTTTCATAATAATAATAATAATTTTAATTATATTTAAAAGTTTGATTTTCAATTTTTACATATACATAAAAATATACACATAAAAATTAGGGTTGTTCAAAGTGCAGTTTAGATCGCACCAAACCGCAATTTTGCGGTTTAGTGCGGTTTTTGAGGATGACCAAACCGTGATTTAGTGTTTGGTTCGGTTTCCAAAAAAATTAAACCTAACCACATTGCAAATCACACTTTAATGCTGTTTTTATACTATATTTTTATTAAAAAAATATAAAAGAACTAAAAAATATGAGGTAACCTTTGACTAGCTAATTAAAGGTTAAAAAAAAGAGTTTATTATTTGAATTATAAATTAATTTAATAATCTCAAAATAAAATAAAGTTGTGTTTTAAAAAAAAAAATTATAAATTTTAAAAAAATATGGTTAAGCCGCAAACCGCATTTTACAATGCGGTTTGGTTAGATTCAGTTTGGTGCGGTTTAGGATCCAAACTGCACCAAACTGTATTGCGAACAACCCTAATAAAAATAAGGAGTAACATTTTATAAACATCTGGATATATAATATTAAACATATTAAATTAACAAATATGACTATCTCAAATTAAGTATTGAACATAATACCAATGCTGTACACAAGTTAAATCAACAAATATTATTACAAAAATACAAAACACTATAGTCTTAGAAGTTACATCTTACATGAAGTGATTCATTGACCAAATTAGTTCCAAAATCTTGTGCCAATAACTTAAAATTAACTCCTCCAATGAGTAAGCATGCATCCATTACATTAAACTTACAATAGCATATACTCCTGTTTAGTTTAGTATTCATACAGGGAGTAAAAAGCAAAAACAATTTTGAGAGCTACGTAATTGTTTAGCAAAAAAATTCAAATAATTTAGAAAATAAAAAAAAAAAAAGTTGCCACGTGGCCCACGTGAGAATTGTAATTACAAGGAAATAGGAGAGTAGAAGTTGGTGGAGCTGTGGGGGTAGGGGTCTGCAGATATTATTAGGGGGTGTGCGAAAATCAGTTCCTGATTATATTAATAAACTTAGGAGATTCAATCCAAATTACTACTAATTATGGATTACTGCAATTACCAAGTCAATAATCCTGTTAGAATTTTCTCAATTATTCTAAAATAAAACTAATAACTTTTATAATGTGCGCTAAACTAAGGCAGCAACAACATTCACCATCAACGGCCAGCAGAAGCCAGCCACATTGGCTGTAAACTTGCATTCGAATCGTTGTTCAGTACACGGTGAAACCTCCTCTCCTGCCAAAATCGCCCAGCTCCCACCCTCCTTGAACCACCACCAAGCAACCATGCATGGCCACGTCAGCCATTGGATTACGCCACCTAACGTGGATGCTCCACCCAAAAACCATTTTTTATTGATTATTAACTATTGTAAAACTAAATTTGGTTCAAGTTGAATTAAGCACAACAAAAATGCCCCAATTTTTGACTTTTACCACCTCCAAATAAACCACTTATTAGCTTTTATCCCCTACATAAAAAAAAGTTTTATTTTACCACCAATAAAATTTCCAAAAATTGGATTTTACCACCAACTAACGGATTCCGTCCATGAATCCATTAGTAGGGTCCACCTTTTTGACGTTTCCTTTTCATCTCCCCCGATTTTCCATGTCAACCAGCCGGCGACGGAATCTACTTACCTTGGTAGTCGATATTTCATGTGGGGCTAGGGAGGGGTCGAAATTTGTTGTTGGCTAAGGAGGGGGTCTGAATTAGGTGGTGGCTAGGGTTTTAGGAGTGCGAAAATTGGCGGTGGCTAGGGTTTTAGGAGTGGTCGGAATTCGATAGGAGGGGCTTTATGGGTGGTCGGAATTTGATATGAGGGGCTTTATGGGTGGTCGGAATTCAGCTGCTAGGGTTTAGAGGTCGAAAATTGGGGGAAAGGGGGTCGGAATCCGTGGTCGTGGCTAGTGCGTTGTGCGTTGCGGTGGTTGTGGTTGTGGCTATGCGGTGGTTGTGGCTGTATGGTGGCTGCTGTGTGGCCAGTTGGTGGTAGGGCTGGTAGCCAGTCCGGCGGTGGGGTTGTTAGCAAGGCCCAGCGGTGGGGTTAGTAGCTGGTCCGACAGTGGCAGAGAGCCGGTTGGTGGCTGGGTTTTGATTTTATTATATTTTATTTTAATTTTGTTTTGTTTTTTTTTATTATTTTCTTTAAAAAATTTACCCAATAATATGGTGACACGTGTGCATGGTAGGACCCACTAACAGATTTAAGGACGGAATCCGTTAGTTAGAGGTGAGTGGTGGTAAAAGCCAACTTTCAATTTTTTATGTGGTGGTAAAATAAAACTTTTTTTTTGTATAGGTGGTAAAAGCCAATAAGCGGTTTTTTATGAAGGATTTATGTCCGTTAAGTGCAATTACTAGGTATATAAATGGATCAAACTATGGAGATAATTAAGTTCGTACATTTGGGTCATTGTTATATCATAGCTAAAGGTACTAACGACCTTTGGGCTAGTAAAATAGGCCAAAGCCCAATTGGACGGATCCTATTAGATCACACAAAGGACCTAGATCAAGCATAAGAGGACGAGGCCCATGATGGGCCTCATCACTCTAGGTGGCCGGCCATAGGGATGGTTTGGAGAGTTTATGGGCTTCCTAACTTAGTCTAATTATAGTAGGATATTAAATAGATTAGGTGCCTAGGTTTTTATACAGAACAGTTTGATTGTTAAGTTGAAATCCTAATTAGCAAACATGAAACCAACCCCTCTCAAACTCCCTCTCTCTCATGGCTCTCCCCTCTCTCGGCACCGGATTTGTGTGCTTGTGGTGGTGGTGTTTCGTGGTGGTTGGTTGTCCATTAAAGGTGATGATCGCGGTTTTCCCTTTCACTCGACCAATCTAGTATTGATAGCCGCTTGTTGACATCCCGTGGACCAAGTAGAGGAGTCACGCTTGGGGCTCTATTCTCTCCCTAATTTGTTGATCGAATAGCTACGTGGAATTCACGCTTCAAAGGTATAGTTATGTGTTTCTTGTGTGTTATGCATGTGATCCTGATTCAGGTGCGTATGAATATGATTCTTGAAATTCCTCTTATAGTACCTAATAGTCCTATAATGGTATCAGTTAGCCTCTTGCATGAACACGCTTGATTATAATAATACGATTATTTGATGTCCATGTTCATAATTTTATAATCAATTAAGAAGGCGAATTAATTTAATTATGGTTCAATTACTAAATGTGATTTAACTCTTGAAATTGATTAAATGTGATTTAATTTTGCTCAAAATAGCTATAGAAGTGCCAAACATTTTGCCCTAAATTGTTCGGAAATTTTGAACCCTAACCCTAATTTATTCGAAAATTTCGAGCATAATAAGCCTTAAAAATCCGATTTTGTGTGCTTTTTTTGTTCAATTTTGTTTTAAATATGTTCATGATTTTAATTAGAATTGATTCATGCACAAAAATGTTTTGTGTATGATCATTAATTTAGTTTAAAGAGCTACAATTAAATTTAGTTCATTTTATGAAGAACCTTAATTATTAGAATTGAATGGATTTAACTTTAATTATTGGACTAATTTAATTTATTTTACAAGCGTTGTTTGAATTTTAATAAAGAATAAAGGCTTTTAAGGGCGGCAGCCGCGGCTGGGTGGCGCAGCCATGGTGGCCGCCGCCGATGTTGGTCCAAGAGGGAGGGGAGGGGAGGCAGTCCGAGAGTGGCTAGGCAGCAGCTGGCAGTAGTGGCTGCGTAAAAGCAGCCTGCCACCGTGGCTAGCTTCGGCTAGCCAACCACGGTGGCCAGCGTGTGGCACGATTTTTCAAAAAAAAAAATGTTAATGTTTTAAAAAAATATTTTGAGATAAAATCAGATTTTTATCTTAGGGATAAAATCAAATTTTTAAAAAGTTGATTGATTTGATGATTATCCATAAATACGTTGTTAAATTTGGTGATTATCCATAATTGAAGTAGTTAATTTTGGATAAGATCAGTTAGAATATTTTTTCCAAAAGGATATAATTGATTTTTTTTTTTTTTTTTTTTTTTTTTTTTTTTGGGTAAGTAATTCTATTACAAAAAGGAATAAATGTTACAACTTAAAAAAAGGAAAGTTGTAACTCTTCAAAACTACAAAAGCCTTCAAAGATGGCACACGCCCACCTAACATTCCCTAGTCTTCAAAGAGGCCACCTTCTAGGAAGGGTGCCTCTAGAAGAGAAAGGAGAAAATTGAAGCTAGCACCTGGCACCTTCTAGGAAGGATACAGAAACAAGCATCGGGACTAACAACACAGTAAACAATAGCTACAAACAAACAGAAGCTACAAACAGTAACCTATACAAAAGTGTACTATACAAATTAACATCATAGTATTTGTAAACTATACAGCCATTTACAGTGCTTCCTCTGCCACTTGCAATTGATCATCTACCTACATCTCTTCACAATATCAGCCCGAATTATTTTGCACACAACTCTGGGATGGATGACAACCTTTAGCCAAAAAGTCTTGTTCCTAGTAAACCATATCTGATAGACCACAGCAGCTAGAGAAGCAAAGCTGACTTTCTTCTTGACAGGGTCCTGTATCCACTCTTTCCATTGTTTCTAGGAGACATCAATATCAAACATAGCTTCAGGTATCTTCAACCATTCACTAATACCTCTAACACATCTTCTACTATACTCATAGTCAAAAAATAAGTGCTTCCTATCCTCAACAGCATTACCACAAAGAATACAGGAGCTATCCTAGCACACACCCTTCTCAGTAAGCTTACTCTTTGTCCTTAGCTTGTTTTGAATGGCTAACTAGAGAACAAAAGAGTGCTTCGGGATATTGTATTTGTTCCAAACCCAGGGAGTCCAATCCACCTCAGTTTGAGACCCCTGAAGCCATTTATACACATATGAGATGCTATACCTACTACTCATCTAGCCTTCATTCTGAAAACCCTCTTTCAACCTTTCTTTAACCTTGCAAAGTTTCTTCCATACCCACCCTGCATTCTTCTTAGGCTTATAATCCCACGAATCACTATCCTTGATATACACTACATGAACCCATTTCACCCATAGTGAGTCCTCTTTTTGAGCTATCTTCCATATATATTTCCCAAGAGCTGCTATATTCCATGTCTCACAATCCCTCATGCTCAGACCTCCAGCTTTCTTTGTCTTGCAGATCCAGTCCCACGAAATGGGAGGAGACTTCCTCAGCACTGCATCTCCACCCCAAAGGAAAGCTCTACAAATCTAAGTAATCCTCTTGATCACACAAGCTTAGAGCAGGACACACTGAGTCCAGTAAGTATGGAGGCTTAAAAGCACTGTGTTGACCAGCAAGCTTCTAGCTGCATATGAAACGTTCCTACCTGACCAACAGGTTATCCTGGCCAGCATCTTGTCAATCAAACTGTCATAGTCACTGTTTGAAAGGCTTCTAACATTTAGAGGGATACCAAGGTACTTGAAAGGAGTGCAGCCCTCAACAAACCCAAACACCCTCAAGATATCCTATTTCACAGTCCTTGCAACATTTCCAAAGTAAATGGTTGTCTTCTCAGCACTGACCTGTAAACCAGAACATTTCCCAAAGATATCCAAAGCCCTTACTAAGAGAGAAACATACTTCTTATCTCCATAGCAGAACATCATCAGATCATCAGCAACGGCAAGATGGTTCAGATTGAGCATCTTGCACCTAGAATGGAACTTGAAACTCCTCATGCCTCCCACTTTCCTTAAAATCTTTGAAAGATACTCCATGACAATTACAAAAAGAAGAGGGGACATGGGGTCACCCTGTCTAATGCCTTTCTTTCCCTTAAAGAAGCCATTCAATCCCCCATTTATCATTATAGAGAAGGAAGCGGATGAGATACATTGCATAATCCACTTGATAAACTCAGCAGGGAACCTCAAAGCAGACAACATATCATGAATAAAATCCCAACTTATGGAGTCATAGGCCTTCCTGAGATCTACCTTTATGGTACACCTAGGAGACTTTTGTTTATCTCTATAGCCCTTTAAAACATCCTGACAGATGAGCACATTATCCAATATGGATCTCCCAGCCATAAAAGCACTTTGAACCTCTTAGTAAGGGCTTTGGATCTTGTACACGACATTACAGCAAGCAATTGGTCAAAATTGGCTAACCTTAGAAGCATTTTCTACCTTAGGGACCATAGTGAGCATAGTTGTGTTCACCTGGTTAAGCAGCTTGCCATGTTGAAAGAAGTCCAACATAGCTGCAGTGATGTCATTACCAACTATCTGCCATGACACTTTGAAAAATTTTCTTGAAAACCCATCAAGTTCAGGAGCTTTATTCTCTTCAATACCCCATAAAGCTCATCTGACATCATCAGCATTAAAAGGTCTGCACATATTCCTTCCCTGTTCCTCATTCAATACAGGACCCATGTCCAGGACATCATGATGCACTTTCCTTTCCATATTCTGAGAAGAACCCAGAAGCCGCTTATAAAACCCAATAGAAGCCTCAGCAATTTTCTCAGGCACCTGAGAATTACTACCATCCTCTTTCTAGATACTACAAATGCTGCTCAAAACCCTTCTTTTCCTCAAGCAAGCATGGAAATAAGCGGTGTTAGCATCCCCAGCTTTTAACTAGTGAAGCTTTGCCTTCTGGGATAGGAATTGGATTTTCCTATTATGAGCCTTAACATATCTCATCCTAGTCTCATGTTCCTAGGCCATCAGAAACTCATTTACAAGATCAGAATTCAGTTTAGTCTGCACCTGAATCAGATCAGCCTCCATGCTAGTATCATCACTTATCACTGAAGAGAAATGTTGTTTATTCAACACCCTCAAGGCTTCTTTAACCCTTTGAAGTTTCTTGACTGCATTAAACATAAGGGTACCTTGAATCTGACCATCCCAACTATCAGCAACCAACTTTAAGAATCTAGGGTATTCAGTACATACATTGAAGAACTTAAAAGGCTTCTTGGTTGAACCTATATTACCCAGAAAATTAATCACACATGGACTATGATCCATAAGGCCCTCAGGCAAAAACATTGCACTAGCAATCTGAAAGTTGTCCATCCAAGCTGCACTCCAGAACACTATCAATCCTAGAACAAACCCTGCCATCCCTAAATTGCTTGTTATTCTAGGTAAAGAAGAGCTTATCTGTTCTAGCTTCAAAAAGGTTAGTGTGTCTAATGCAGTTCCTAAAGCTTTCAATTTCCCTGAAAGTCACAGGGGCTCCCACCCTATCCTCAAAATTCAAAGGGTTATTAAAGTCACCACACACAACCCAAGGCTCAGTTAATTTACTACCAAACTGCTCTAATTGCTTCCATAAAACTTCCCTATCTTCCTGGCGGTTAACACCATACGCCATTGAACAGAAAAAACAGCCCCTAGAAGCAACATGCACCACTTTAACATGTATCACCTGCATTTCAACTTTGATCACATCCACACTGAAAATCTCAGGTTCCCAAATAATCCATATTCTGCCATGCTCACCTTTCCCATAATTTGCAACAACCGACCAATCAGCATAAAAACTGGTGAAGATCTTCTCAAACTTAGAAGCCTTCACCTTTGTTTCTAGGAGCTCAAATAACCCTGTATCATGATTCCTTAGGAAGGATACGACATCACTAATTCTCTCAGGTTGATTTAGGCCCCCTAATTTTCCAAAAACCCCACTTATTCATGAGGGGTGTAGGAGAAACCTCCACCTCCTTCACCACCATACAACACCCTTGAGCTACCAAAACCACCAGACAAGGTGTTCATTCTTGTACTATTAACTCCAACATTATCTATCACCTCCTCCACCAACAGCTCAAATCTATTTTGAGTTACTATATTATTGACAGTGTCCTCCGTCCTTCTGCATTGGAGGTCCTGTCTACTTTGCTGCCTCCCAGGTTGCTGGTTCTTGCTTGATACAATTCCTAGATTATGCGGTAGACTAAAGTAAAAGGAATGGTATCCTTCCAACAAGTGTATTCTTCCGATAAAGGGTTCAGAATTATTACAGAGCTAATTCTTCATTAAGGTCAAATGATCGGAATGCCTAGGTGGAGGCCTCTTCCAATCAGTAATATCAAGGTACAATTGATATTACATCTTAATATTCAATGAACCCTTCGGGTCGAACCCAATCGAATCACCGATCCGAGACGACGAATTAATCTAAAAGAATTTAATAAGTCGACAGAGTTTTACAAATACAGACGTCGGAAATCGAACCTAGGGCGTCGAGATCGAGTGTCGCAAAATCACAAGCAACAAGTATGAGCGTAGCCGTAGCTAGGCTAGGCTAGCTCATCGCAAGCCTAGGTGCACCATGTGTGTGCTAGGTGCACCATGGTGTGTTAGGCAACATCGCAGCCTAGGCGCGCCCTGGCAGCCCATCGCAAGCTAGCATGGGTGCCTAGGTGCGCAAGGTAGCTATCGCAAGCCTCACAAGCACCAGGCATCCCATCGCAACTAGCAGCGTGCTAGGCTGGGTGCCTGGGTGCTCATGGGCGCTATCGCTGGCCTGTCGCACCAAGCACGGCTATCGCAGTGCTAGGCACTGGCGTATGGGTCTGTGCGTACATGCCTCGCACCATCGCAGCCCTATCGCACCAAGCACTGCACCCTCGTGTGCGTGTGTGTGCATAGGCGCTCTCGCAACACCCTAGCATCACGCACAACACCATCGCAATGCTAGGCACATGCGTGTGTGCGTGTGCGTGTGCACCGTCGCCCAGCAGCCTCGCAAAGAGGCACCTAGCTATGTGCTTGCGTGCGTGCTTTCGCATGGCAGCACCAAGCACAACATGCTAGCAAGGAGCACCAAGCCAAGCATGCGTGGCTCGCTAGCAGCACACATGCTAGGCCTTGCGTGCGTAGTGCGCTGGCTGTGTGCGAGGGAGTGCTAGGCAGCAGCAGCACTAGGCTACCAGCACCAGCGCCCAGCAGCTCGCAGCGTGCTAGGCCAGTGCATGCTAGCACTGCTTGCTAACACACCAAGTTGGCTGGCTGCCCAGCCTTGGTGCTAGGCGCCAGCTGGCAACCTTGGCAGCCAAGGCAGGCTGCCAGCCCAGCTGTCCATAGGGTGCCGGTTTAGGTCAGGGGTTGGGACTAAGCTTGGGCAAGGCCTTGAGGAGCAAGGCAGTGGTCCCCCCACCCATTCATGGTCCTCACCTAACCTTCTCTCTCTATTTGACACTTGTTGCATTTTGATTAGTTTTGTTTATTAATTTATTTTAGAAATAAATTAATTAGCAAAATATACATTCTCCCACATTGGTTGGGGAATGAGAATCAAGGGATCATTTCCCTATAAATACCAAGCTTGGTGTTGGGATTTGAAACAACCTTGAGTGGAATTAAAAAGGCAACTCTAGAAAAGAGTAAACCTTTGATTCGTAAAACTCATAGTTAATTTTGTCCGGGTCTTGACTAACCTTCAAGACTTGGGACGCTCGGGTCGGGTCGAGGGTACGATCCGTCGGAGATCTCGTCTTTTCGGGATTTTGAAGTAAGAGCTCTTTAGGAGCGAAGCACGCGTCAAAGGTATAATTCTTGTTCTTAATCTTGTTTGATTAAGTTTATTATGCTTGTTTAATTGCTTTAATTAAGGGGCGGGTCTTGGTGGGTTTCCTTCCGCGTAGCGTCGGGTCACTACGAAACCCTATAGCGGTATCGGAGCCACGCTCCTTTTAAATTTTTGCAATTACTGTTTAATTAAGGTATTTTATAGAATTTAATTTTCTGGTTCATGTTCATCTAATTAGATTAGATGCTCGTTTTAATTATCTTTTAAAACTCGATTTTATTTTCGATTTGGCTGTCGAACCCAGATTTTGGCTCAAAAATAGTGATTTTTGGGTGGAATCGACATTCTGGAACTGTTTCAACCTTTTCAGGATTATCCAGAAGCCAAATTCGAACCAGAAACCCAATTTTTCTGGGGTTTTTCGTTTTTCAACGAAAATTTTAATTCTTTTTAAGCCTTGATTAATGCAAGCATTACAAGGTTAGATTAAATGAACTTTTGCATCACTAATCTACTGGTTTTAAAATATCCTTGAGCATAATAATGGAGTGTTTATTAGTGCTTAAGTAGATATACCAATTTATCACATAAACTTGTTTTTCACAAATTTTGCAAATAAATTACAATAAGGTGTGAAACTTGTTGTGATTTTGTATTTTAAGTTCCCAAGTATTGTTAAAGTTCTAATCTTTAAATGTTTAAATGATTGGAACCCAAAACCTAAATTCCATGTTGAACAAAGTTTGGATTTTTTCATGTTTTGGTTGACTAAATCCATTAAGTTTAATTACTTGTGAGTAAAATTTGATTAATCTTCATATTGGAAGATGTAATCTTGGTATTTTACACAAGTATGCAAGTTGGAAATTTTTTATCATTGGATGGTTAATTTATTTTTCCAACTCCCTTTTGTCAAATCCATTATTCATTTGCATATTAGCAAAATTAATTTTGGACATAGCTCATTTTATTTTAAGCATAAAGTTTGACCTAATTTTGTTCAAAATTGAAATTTTGGATAAATTTAGGCTTGTGCACCAATTAAAATAATTTTATTTAAGTTAGACTTAATTTTATTTTATTTTCCCTAAAATTAATTCTAAAATATAATTTGGAATTAATTCATGTCACACGTAAATCGGGATTAAAATCCCAAGTCATAGCACGCAAATCAAGGCAACACATCCAAGTGCCACCAAGGCTAGCCGGGTTGCCTAGCAGCCCACATGTGGCTGCCTGTGGTGCGCACAAGGGTAAGCCATGATGTTGATGCTGTGCGCTGTTGTGTGGCGGGGAAGCATGGCTGATGTGCGTGGGGTGGCTGGGCTGGCTTGCGAAGGATGCTGCTGGGCAGCAGGGCAGCAAGCATCAGCCAGCGCACCACGAGCATCATGAGGTGCCTGCCCAGCAGGCCAAATGCTCGCAAGCACCAGCGTGCTAGCAAGCATGCGAAGCATGCTAGCAAGCAGCTGGGCTTGAGGCACTGCTTGCTAGGCACAGCAGGCCTCACCAACGCACCATGGCGTCATGCCATGGGTTGCCTAGCAGCCATGGTGCGCACCCACCAAGGGATTTGTTGGGTGATTTTGCTTAAGGTTGAGCCGTGATTTTGCGCTTTTTCCGTGTTAATAATTTTAATTAATTATTTTAACGAGGCTAAAAACCTCGATTTTCGATTTTGCAAAATTTTGACAAATTATGGGTTATGCCGACTTAATTAATCGGATTAATTAAGTACGGATGCGGAATTTAGTGGGAGCTTAATTAAATGCGTTAGCATTTTGCGTTTAGAAATAATGTATTAAACCACTTTGACTAGTTTTAATTAGGCACGTTAATTGGATTAACGACCTAAGTTAGTTACTAGTTGTGCGTGTTTAATTATGTATTTCGTAAAATTGCATAGGTCGTTCATAAATAGTGAACGGGTGAATGAAAGATTGCTTTCAAAACAGGTTCTTTGAAAATGGCAACTAGTGGGGCCCGACTAGGATAGAAAATATGGACTGCGCTCTGTTATGTATTTTTGTAAATCTAAATACGGTCTGCGAACCGTTAAGTATTTTTGTACTAATTAGATTAATCTTAGTCGTTCTAGCTAGCTTCTTTTATTTCATTTTGGCCAAGATGTCTCAAGACGGCGTTTCGACGAAGACGAGCCAAGATCACCCATGGAAATTGAAGATTTCAAGGGGTCATGCTAGTTGCCAAATGCATCTATTTTATGCCTTATATATTGTTATATATGATTGCTAGATGCATGTCTAGGATTTATATAATGTTGCGATGATTAGTTAAGTTCACTTAAATCAACCAATATAGAAACCCTAGGTCCCTTAATAATATTGAGCTAAAATTTGTCGTTCCAAGAATAACACTTACCGAACTAATGCGCGTACGTGATGGATTACGCCAAAGCGAGGCATCACTACTTCCCTAGGAACGTAAGGTATACTAGGTATACAAGTTGTCTTGGTTAAGCTCAACGATATCAGTAAGGAGTCCTTAGATGTCGTGGTAAAAGAGATAAAATGTCAGGAATGCATTAGATGCGACATTTTATCAAACCGAGAGTAGCTTGGAGCTATTAGCAATTGGATTGCTTACCTTAAGATATTTAATGGTTAAGACAAGCCAAAGCATGCTTAACTATTTCTTGATCTTTAGGATCTCGAAATCATTTTATTTTCGCCCATAAGGGACAATCTTAAAATGCGTGGATAAAATGTTCAATAAGTGTGAATATATGCATGAACGCTTTAAATTTCAACTTATTGATGTATGAATGGTTTTTCATTTCAAATTATTTCAATTGTAGAAATCATGTCTGCAAGTAACTCAAACAACAACCAAATGTGCCCTGAACTCCCCGAAAAGTTGGCCATTCCCTTAAACTTGGTCAACTTTAAGGAATGGGAGGAGGAACTCAGGAGAACTCTCCGGAATTGTTCCTTGGATTATACTCTAGATACTCCCATTCCAAGCTTCTTTGCCAAAGGGATCATGACCGACGAGGCTCATGAAGAATGGTCTTCCAATTGCAAAAGGGTCTCACGACTCATGGCAAATTCCATCCCGGAAGATTGGAACGAAACTCTTTCCTCCTACCTTCCGGACATGTTCCTCAAAGCACTTGAGGACGTTGTCAATATAAGAGTCACCAAGAGTGACAATGGCAAATTTGATGGACTCGTGTTTGACTTGACTAGGTCACTTTCAAACATGAGAATTAAGCCACCAAATG